AAGATTTTTCCGTTGTAGAATCGTGGATATAACATCGAATAATAATAAATTCAAACGATTAAAAAAAGCCAAATAAAGGGTGATGCACGTGACATGCACGCTTCCGAGCATCGCACGTGTCACTTAATGTGAGCAAACGACTTTTGGCCAAAACCCTACCAAAAAAAAAAATTCGAACGCGAATCGAAACATTCAATGTCTGCCGCTAGGTCCGTCTTCCGCTCCGGTGCCGGCAGAGCCGCCGTCGCCGCGCTGAGGTCGACAAAGCAAATGCCGTCTTCTGTGCGGTCTTTGTTTGGGATGCCTAAACAGAGGAGCCCTCTCTCTCACCAAATTTTCAGGTGAGTTTTCAAAAACATCGATTTCAGGTGAGCCCTCTCTCTCACCAAATTCTCAGTCTGATGATTTTGGCTACGAAATGAACAGATCTACGGTACAACTGAGCTGCTGCGTCGAGACGATGTTGCCTTACCACACGGCCACTGCTTCTGCTTTGCTCAATTCCATGATTTCGGTTTCACGCCGCTCCGTTTGGACCTTCGGAGGTACGCTTCCTTCTCGTCCTCTCACCACTATTTCAGTTTCATTGTCAATTCACGACTTAAGCACCAGCGTATAGTCGAAGATTCTAATGTCTTAGACGAATTTGTTTCATTTTCGTGTGAAATTGAGTGATTTGATACTTAGGGGATGCTTTTTGTGAGAACAAACCTGTTGTTGAAGATGTAAATATTGATTTTAGATACATGACTGAATTCTTCGATTTGCTGCATAGTAGTAGTGGTCATGATCCATTCTTATATCCATCATATATGCTTGTGGAATACCAAGGTCCTGATGGTTCTTGTAGATTGAGTTTATATACAAGGTATTTGGTCTCAAAGGTTTTTTATAGGCTGATGAATATACATCTGTTAATTCCTCGCAGCTCGGTTTACTATACATAGGCATTGTTGATTGGTAGTCTCCTTAGTCTTTCTCTTCTTTAGGTTGAGCCTTGTTTTCCAGTTCTGGATTTATTGCATTACTAATTCTACTTGTAGTGTTTTGGTATGAAACTTGAAGTTTGTAGTTGTTGCAATTTGTGTTGGCATCTCATTTCTTTCTAGAATATTTCACTTTCCTACTCTTACCTGAGCAGTTCGGATAATTGTGGAGAGTAATGAATATAATGCTGAATTTGAGAGCCTTTCCTGTGGCATAGTCAGACAAATATCTCTTGCATACAATGAGCAAACCCAACTTTCGCTTTTTGTAGGGGAAGATGATAACTGAAGGACAATCAACAAGAATGATGATGTTGTTAATCATGTAATCTTCTTGGAGTTAGGTCTTAATATAAAAGGGGATACTTGATGCCTTGTGCTAGTATTTTAGATCCATAGTTGCTCTCTTTCTAAAAAAACCATTTATCTTCTATGAGAAAAATCTAGTTATATTGGTTGATTTTTTATGCATCTCTTTGGTCCCTCTGTTCACATGCGGTTGTGTTTCTGCATACTGATATTTTCTATTTGCTCAGATTGCAACGATGATGCATGATGAATTTCAAATGGAGAGTGCAGGAGTGGATGCAGTTTTAAGGCAAGGTGTTGTAAAGACGGTTATCGAGTCATGTTTCTTCTTAGTTCATAAGATCCGCTTTTTAAATTTCAAGAAACAAAGGAATATTATGGAATTCTAATAGACGCAGACCATTCGGAAAACCAACTAGACCTGATTCGAGCTTCTTATGTGCAAGTGTTGACAGTCAAATGATCTAAACTTGAGGTCGCAATTGTACATTGGATTTGACTAGTTGCAAGACAATAATGTGGACACAAAACTTAACCAAATCTTTCATTAGCCTCTGTTCAAAAACCATACAAAAATGCAGAGAGGTTACAAAAGCATTCACCACAACCAAATGCGTACATATCCATGATATATCGTGCTCCGAAAACAGGCATCAACATAAATCTGTTGCATATGAGCAGTCTCATCCACCTGTGATGTACCAGTACCGCAGGAAGAAGAACATGCAAAAGGCCAAAGTCCATCGGGCCCACAAGGGATCAACCTCGGATCCTTAAACTTCTAAAAGGATGACTCACACATGACACGTCAGTGGAAGAGAGAGAGAGAGCAGGAGGAGGGTGTGAGCCTTACGGTTATTTATGCTATGCAATGGTTGTGGTTTTGGATTATCTATCTTGTGATCAGAGTAGAGACAGGAGAGAGGAGACTCCTTAATATTTCCTGCTTTGTAAACATTTTGGGTTTCTTTGGAGAATGCATCGTTTATTTCTTAAGCTTTCCTTTAAGTTTACATCGTAATCGTAACAAAATCACCGGTAGATAAGATAAAATAGCAAACATGCAACACCATAAGATAGATACAATTTTACC